TTGTGGGACTCCAGTTTGTTTGTGGCTTCTCAGACTGAAGAAGTCCTTTGGATGAAGGATGAAACGTATCAACAAATAAAAGGAACCCGTCCAGATGACCTGACTGAACATTGTTTGATTTGTACCTGGATTATTGAGCATGAACTGTTGGTGCTAGCCGGGTTCTACTTACAGCTAAACTTTAGTCACTTTTCGGCTTTTTAATCACTGCACCAGCAGTTTTTATCCTGTAGCTTCATGTTTCTTTCAGAAATTTTGCATTAGTTCTGGTCATTAATGAAAAACAACTTAACATTTATAACTAAGGATGCACGATATTATCGGCATGGTATCAGTATCGGCCGATATTAGCGATAAAGTTAAATATCGGACATCGGCCATTCTATCAAAATAACTCATCGATATAAAAGACATAGTTTTTTTAATATGTGTATTTGTATATATATATATTTTTTTTTTTTTTTTTAAATATTATGCACTGTTTTTGTATGACAACCCAGTGACAAGGCTGCTTGCAGTGCTAGCACAACATTATGACATCATGCGCGCCGTTGAGTTTAGATTTATTCAAATGTACAAATTTGCACTGTTCGAGTGTTGTCATTGTGTTAGAGAGATTAAATTTCATGAATATATTTGACATTAAACTTAATCCAAGTTGAAGTGTTGCATCATTTTCAGCCCCCTTTTTGGCATCTGCATTTGGTAGCAGAGCTAACTGACAAATACTATGCAGAATAATGTAGTATTTTAATTCCACAGCAGAGAAAACTGTGTAGTCTCTGTATGTAGGTCTAGGGAAAAAATATTGGTATCGGTTATCGGCCAAATAAGTTTTAACATATTGGCATATCGGATATCGGCCAAAAATCCAATATCGTGCATCCCTATTTACAACCTAATAATACATAAAGAATATATACTGTAATATAAATAAATCAAGTGTCATAAAATATTTGTATTTGTTTATTTTTGATAGATTGTTTTTTTAATTCTTATGTTGAGCTTTTTATCTGTGCAGAGGAAAAAAGTTCAACCATAAAAGTTGTTGAGTTTATAGAGTAATTAGTCATTTAATAATAAAACATTGTCAGCAATTGTAATATTATTTTAATGCAACTGTATCATAAAGTTTGTTTCTGGTGTCAAATATTGCTTTTGACTGAATAATTTGGATAAAAATAATTTACATTTTTTAAATGTAGAAACTCAAACAGTGACTGAGGGAGGTTTATAATTCTATTTTTATCATTTTAATTTTCCCAGACACTAAAAATGATGATTTTTGTGCCAAAGAGTGTAACGTTTAAAAAACTTGATGTGACCAATCCTTTTCTTTTGATCATAAATGACTATTCTTTTATGTATTTTTAAGCTTATAGAGTTCTTTTGAAACATTTTTCACATCTCAACATGAATACGTCAACTTCTTTATAGCAAAAGAAACTTTCAAACCTCAAATAAATGAACTGAAATCCTTCTAAACTCATTCGATTGAAAGCTCAGCCGATCAAATCTTTTTACGACGTTTATCAGGAGGAACTCGTCTACAGCTGTGAAGTTTTTATTCCCAGTTTGACTGAATCTCAAGCTGCCAAAAGCCCAAAGGACAGGAAGAAACAAAACTACGAATCTGACAACATTTTACATTAAGTTTCTGTTTAAAAATTGATTCAGGTTTAAACTGGAAGTCTGCTTTAAATGACAAAGCTGTTATATTTCTTAAGCTCTTATTTTTAACATTCAGTCTGGTTGTATAGCCACTGTAAGGGTGGTTTTGGTTTTTTTTAAACTCTGAGGCTAACCCTTTAAATTACACACTTCGTGCTTCCTTGGTTGTCCCATTGGAAACATGTTCCCATCATCTTCAGGAACCAACCTTCTGTTCGTGATCAGAAAGCCAAATCGATGGAGCGTCTCCGTCTGCCGACCACTTCACACGTGTCCGTTCTTCCGCAGAGCCCGTCGCTCCTGCTGCGTTCACTCCGCAGATGGAAACCCTGGGGCTAAACGGGTAATTTAGTGGCTCCTCCGCCTGGTGTCCTCATTTGGCGTTTACCGAGACCGGATCGAGTTTCAAACTCTTAGATTTTTTTAAATTAAATCACCAAGATCGCATTTCACACAAACAAAACAAAAACAAGTCCTGTCCACTCCGTGAGGACTGAACTAAGCAAAATGACCTTCTGCTCCACTCTTGTTTCCTGGAACATCTTGCAAAAAGATCTGAAGCTCTCGACCTTGACCTCTCTAAGTGGCTTCAAACATCTGTTAAGTTCCTGGCAAGAACCAATGCAGACGTGTCCCTGTTTTTAGTTTTCTACATCACCTTACAACCCAACTGTTTTTTTTTAAATTATTTTTAATACCATTTTCTTTCACTTGTTCTTCTCAATTTCTATGCTTTCTTTTATGATTGTTTTTGTTGTCTACTGTTGTCACTCGGCCTGTGATAAACGATAAATCAATTAATCGCATGATAAATGAAAATTATCGACCTCATTTTCATTTATCGGCTTTATCGTTTCTTCGTGTCTCTCTTTCCATTGAAGACACTGGATGACAAAAGGCTCAACTCCGGTGCTCTTCACTGACCCCTCCCTTTCTCTCTTTAAAATCCATTTTAACTGCCCAAAATCGCGTTTTTGGATCGTTAAAAGCAGCTAAACTGAGAAGCTAAGATACGAGCTAAGCTGACAGGCCAACCTCGGGGGGGGGGCGGGGGCGGAAGACCGTCTTGTAGAGCCCAAATATAGGAGTGAAACCTGCGCCTTTGTCTAAAAAGTTTTTCTCTGAAAAAAAAAAAAAACGGTGAGAACTTTTTTACTGATTTTTTTTTATTATTAAAACTTTGTGTGAAAAATGCTACGCTAAAGAGCTCAAGCCACACCGAATGTCCGCCATTTTGAGAACCGAAAAAAGGAACAAGAGACAGCCCATGTCACGTCAAGGGGTCTCTTTCCCATTTTTCTTAGACACGCTGCTCGCTCCCTCACTATCCATCCTTCAGTTTAAACTGTTTATACTGCCATCCGGTGGTCGAAAAATGATACTACACACAAAACAAATTAACAAACATTTCTTCTTAAATTTGACAATAATTACTAATTATTGTCAAATTTCAAACAATATTATCGTTTATCGCAATAATTTCAGAGAAAATTAATTGCACAGCAAAATTTGTTATTGTGACAGGCCTAGTTGTCATCACTTTTTGTTAAAATTTGGTCTCTCTTGTAAATGAGTCCCTGAGACGCAATCTGATTAACCTGTATAAATAAAGGTTGAATGAAAAAAGTAGTTGAGGAGAAAAATCCTGGACCTTTCTGTTAAGAAATCTATTTATTTGTTGATTTACAATGAGTGGATGAAGTCAATCATTGATTTAAACCTGAATCCTTCTTTAAAATCCACCTGTTTCTCTTCTGAGAGTACATTTTAAGGTGCTTGAAGCAGTTCTTTTGGCTCTTGAGTCAGGGAAGGAAAGGCTGAGTGGTTGTGTTGTAAGCTGTCAGGAAACGTCAATGAGCTGCGCCTTGATACAAGCAGACAGAAATGTTCTGTTTGTTCTTATCTGAGCGACAGGAGTTTTTGTGTTAATGTTGGTAATAGTTTATCTGCTTCAGTTTCTCTTTCCTGCGAGGTCCCACAAGGCTCGATTCTTGGACCCCTTGTGTTTTCATTGTATCTGCTCCCCTTGGGGTCTATCATGAGGAAACATGGTTTTTGCTTTCATTGCTATGCAGATTTATCTGCCCTTAAAATTAAATAGTTCACCCTCTGTTAAAATGTCTTGACGACTTTAAGGCATATGACTTCAAACTTTTTGTGTTTTAACGATCAGAAAACTGAAGTCATTGCTCAGACGGAAGAAGTCTTTCGGATGAAAGACGAAGCGTTTCTACAATTTTTCATTTTTTGAACCCGTCCAGAGGACCTGCCGTAACTTTTTTAGATTTTTCTACCTGGATTATTGAGCATGCATCGGGATATGAAGTCATTGTGCTTAGCCCTAGCTTTACTGTCGTCTCTGATCCTGTTAACCGTGACTCTCTTGAGCCATATCTTAAACAGCCTGTTACAAATCTTGGGATGGTTTTAGACTCTGACTTTAAGTTTAATAAACAGATGAACTCTGTTGTACAAAAATGCTTCTTCCTGTTAAGGCAGATATCTAAGCTTAAGTCTGTGTTGACCTGATCTGACCTTGAAAAAATAGCCCATGCATTTGTTACAGCCTGGCTAGACTACTGTAACACACTCTATGTTGGGGTCGGTCAGGTGTCTCTTTCACATCTTCAGCTCGTCCAAAATGCTGCAGCTCGGCAACTAACAGGAACTTGTAGGTTTGAGCATATTGCACCAGTTTTGTCCTCCCTTCACTGGCTCCCTGTATGTGTCAGAGTTTATTTTAAAATTCTCTTGTTGATCTTTAAGTGCATTAATGGCCTTGCACTTTCATACCTCTCTGACCTACTTCAGCCTTGTGTTCCTTCTCGGATGCTAATATCTTCTGACCAGCTGCTTTTTGTTGTGCCAAAAACCAGGTTGAAGCTCAGAGATCGGGCTTTTTTATTTGTGGGTAGGCCCTAAACTTTGGAACAGTCGGCCCCCCAACATTAGACAGGCCACTTCACTTCCCATTTTTAAATCTCTCCTAAAAACGCATGTTTTCACTGACGTTTAACACAGTGCGATTTGATTTAATATTGCATTGTTTCTCATTGTTTTTGTGTCTTTATTTTTGATGCTTTTAATTACATCTTATTATTTTTTCTTTAATTACTGCCTTGATCTTAATTGTTAAGCACTTTGGTAACAGCTGCTGTTTTAAATGTGCTTTATAAATAAATTTGACTTGACTTGACTTATGTTCTGTCAGAACATTCAGAGAACTGTTTAGTCTCCACTCATCTTTCTTCCTGTTTTCAGTTTTTGTTGAACCCTGCTTGTTTGTTAAAGCCAAATAAAACATTAAAGCTGAGTTTCTTCCCATGCAGCGGTCATGAAGTCAGGTCCGAGTGGCACCAACTGGGCCACTGACCGCAACCTGATGTTAGGTGGAAAAATCCCGAATCCTTCAGCGTCCTCCTCTACTCCCGCCTCTTCTTCTCTGGTGACATCCGTGGACGGAGTCGGCTTTTCCGAGAGAGACCTACTGCTTCAGGTTGCTGTTTGTTCCAAACTGTCTGAGAAAAACAAACATAAAGGTATCGGAATTCATCGATGTGCCTCTCTGCCCTGCAGGCGCTGAACGGCTTCGTGTTGGTGGTGACAGCTGAAGGTTACGTCTTCTACACGTCCCCCACCATCCAGGACTTCCTTGGCTTCCATCAGGTAAAAACGTTATCACAGGCACGCATAAAAAATATTACAGATGAAGAAGTATTTAAGATGAACATTCATCAAAACATACAGAAAAAGTTGCTGCTACAGACAAAAAACAAAGACAAAGACAAAGAAAGAATTTAAACCACCAACATCATTTGATCTGTTTGGTCAGTTTGTAATTCTAACGGGGCGTGTGTTGTTTTAACACTTTGCAGAGATATTTGAGAAGTTTTTTCATTTTTATTTTTTCAGGTCACAGCTAGGCCTGTTGCGATAAAGAATAAATAAATCACATGATAAATAAAAATGAGGTTGATAAGTTTCATTTATCGGCTTTATTGTTTCTTTGTGTCTCTCTCTTTCTACTGAAGACACTGGATGACAAAAAGCTCAACTCCGGTGCTCTTTACTGACTCCCCTCCTTTCTCTTTAAAATCTGTTTTAACTGTCCAAAATCACATTTTTTTGTACTGTTAAAAGCAGCTAAAGCTTGGGTAAAAGCTGAGGCAAAAGCTCGGATGTGGGAGGAGTTCGGTGAGACCCTGGTTAACAGGGCTGGGCTCCGGGGATGGATGAGATTTGCCCTGATTTCCTAAAGGCTCTGGATGTTGTAGGGCTGTCTTGGTTGACAAGCCTTTGCAACATTGCGTGGACATCTGGGGAAGTGCCACTGGATTGGCAGACTGGGGTGGTGGTTCCCGTCTTCAAAAACGGGGACCGGAGAGTGTGTTCCAATTACAGGGGCATTACTCTCCTCAGCCTCCCTGGTAAGGTCTATTCGGGGGTACTGGAGAAGTGACTCCGATTGTTGGTCAAACCTCAGATCCAGGAGGAACAATGCAGGTTCCGTCCTGGCTGTTGAACACTGGACCAGCTCTTTACCCTCACTAGGGTCCTTGAGGGGTCATGGGGGTTTGCCCATCCAGTCTACATGTGTTTTGTGGACTTGGAAGAAGGCATTTGACTGTATTCCTTGGTGTACACTGTGGGGGGTGCTCCATGAGTATTTGATTGGGAACCAGTTGTTACGGGCTGTTCGGACCCTGTACAAACGGTGCGAGAGTTTGCTTCGCATTGCCGTTAGTAAGTCGGACCCCTTCAGGTTGGGAGTTGGACTCCACCGGGGCTGCCCCCTGTCAGAGATTCCGTTCATAACTTTTATGGACAGAATTTCTCGGTGCAGCCAGGGGGGCGGAGGGTTTCCGGTTCGGTGGCCTCAGGATTCCATCTCTGCTCTTTGCAGATGATGTGGTCCTGTTGGCGTCATTGTGCCGTGATCTGCAGCTCTCACTGGAGCGGTTTGCAGCCTAGTGTGAAGCAGCTGAGATGAGAACCAGCACCTCCAAATCTGAGGCCATGGCCCTGAATCAGAAAAGGGTGGATTGCTCTCTTCAGGTCAAGGGTGAGGTTCTGCCTCAAGTGTAGCAGTTCAACTATCTTGGGGTTGTGCTCACAAGTGTGGGAAGAATGGAGTGTGATATTGGCAGACGGATTGGTGCAGTGTCTGCAGTATTGCGGACTCTGTACTGGTCTGTTGTGGTGAAGAGGAAGCTGAGCTGTAAGGCAATCTCTTTGTTTACCGGTCAGTCTACGTTCCTACCCTCACCTATGGTCACAAGCTCTGGGTAGTGATCGAAACAATGAGATTGTGGATACAGGCAGTTGAAATGGGTTTCCTCCGCAGGAGCCCCGGTGGCCGCAGTCCCCCGGCAAAATAAAGGAGTCCCCAGCTGGTGCACCTTCCAGCACCCCTGCCAAAGACTCCAAGAAGGCTGTATATTCTGAACTGCCATTTGGCACGTAGACACAAACAACAGTCAGAGCCTGTCCCCCCACCCGAAGGTGAAGGGAAGCCACCCTCTCATCTACTGGGGAAAACTTCAATGTACAGGCACTAAGTCGGGGGGCTAAAAGTAGACCCACACCAGCTCCACTCCTCTCACCATGGGCAACTCCAGAGTGGAATAAGGTCCATGTTCTCCCAAGGAGATCGGTTCCAAAGCCCATGCTATGCGTCGAGGTGAGCTCAACTACGGTATATCTAATCGGTACCTCTCAACCTCGTGCACAAGCTCAGGCTCCTTCCCCACCAGAGAGGTCACGTTCCATGTCTCTAGAGCCAGCTTTGGTAAGCCAGGGTCAGAGAGCCAAGGTCCCCGCTTTCAGCCACTGTCCATGGCATCACGCACCTGACTTTTATGGCCCTTCCTGCAGGTGGTGGGTCCACAGGAAGGCAAATCCAGGTCTCTCTTGTAAACAAATCCTCATGGCTCAATGGGACTTACCTGTTTAAATAAACTTTGAATGAAAAAAACCCATGCTGCTCTTTTGGGCTGAGCCCTACCAGGCCCCATGGGGTAGAGAACCAACCGGTCACTGGGTGCTCGCCGACGAGCCCCTCTCCCAGGTCTGTCTCCAGGGTGGGGCCCCGGTAACCCACGTCTGGGCAAGGGACACTGAGTTTCTTGTTTTTTTCCTGTCCATATAAGTCTTCTGAATCACTCTTTGTCTGGCCTGTCACCTAGGACCAATCTTCCTTCGCTACCTGGGGCAGTTATAATTGCCCCCTACAGCATGGCTCCTAGGGTCATTCAGGCACACTCCTCCACCACGATAAGATGGTGATTCAAGGAGGATAAATAAATGTAGCTTTATTAATGTTGTAATTTATCCCCTACAGGCCTCTCTGCTGTCTCAGAACAACTTTTATTGTGTGAATGTTTATGAAGCATTCACACTATTGTCATCCAGTTTTCTTCTGTATGTTTTTCAGCATCTTTCTTGTTCCACAATTTTTGTGCTTTTTCTATCTTCTTTCTGCTAGTTTCAGCCTGTTATGCTCCTTTCAGCTGATTTCTGCAAGTTTCAGCTTCTTCTGCTATTTCAGCTACTATTTACTTGTTTTTATGCTAATTTTAGCTATTTTGGCGAATTCCGCATTTTTAATTTCATTTCAGTTCTTCCCACTTTTTTCAAGCAGTCTAAACTTCTTCCTGCATTTTCAGCTACTTTTCAGCAAATTTTTTTTGGTTAATTTCAACCTTTTTTTTTAAATCTAATTTTCTAATTTTTATGCTCATTTATGCTTATTTAAACCTAATTCAGCAAATAGATGTTCTTTCTGCATTCCTCTGCTAACTTAGGCTTGTTTTTCCATTTCAGCTACATTTCAGCATGTTTTTGAAGCTAATTTCAGCTGTTTTTCAACAAGTTATTCAGCAATAAGCATTCACACTTTCAGGAGTACTTTCAGGAGGATTAATTCGCACAAGGCAACCGGCTCAGACAACATCCCCGGAAAAGTGTTGAAAGAATGTGCCGATCAGCTCTGCAAGGTGCTGGCAGACATCTTTAACACCTCACTTACCATAGAGACAGTTCCCACCTGCCTGAAGACTGCCACCGTCATCCCAGTCCCAAAAAGCTCTACAGTGACTGGTCTGAATGACTATCGGCCAGTGGCCCTCACCTGATAGTCGCTAAATGCTTCAAAAACTGGTCATGACTCACATCAAAACAACCATCAACATCAACGAGGACCCTCATCAGTATGCATACCGCGAGGACCGATCGACAGAGGATGCCATCTCCTCTGTGGTCCACACTGCTCTCAACCACCTGGAGCAGAAAAACTCTTACATCCGTATGCTCTTTGTGGACTTCACATCTGCCTTCAACACCATGATCCCCCAAACCCTGATGGACAAACTATTCACACTGGGCCTGGGCCCCTCCATTTGCAACTGGGTACTAGACTTCTTAACAAACAGACCACAGTCAGTGAGGATCCACAACTTCTCCTCCTCCTCCACCATAACCCTCAGCACTGGCTCTCCTCAGGGATGTGTGTTGAGCCTCCTCCTGTTTACTCTGCTCACGTATGATTGTGCAGCTACCCATCCAGGCTGTCACATTGTAAAGTTTGCAGATGATACAGTGGTGGTGGGATGCATCACAAACAATGATGAGTCCAGCTACAGGCAAGAGGTGGAACACCTGGAGATCTGGTGCAAAGAGAATAACCTTCACATCAACGTGAAGAAGACAAAGGCAAAAACACCTACACCCCCTTGAACATAAGAGGATCTGCGGTGGAAGTGGTCTCCAGCTACAAGTACTTGGGTGTACACATGAATGACAACCTCAGCTGGAGCAACAACACTACCAGCCTGATCAAGAAAGCTCATCAGAGACTTTACTTCCTCAGGCGACTGAGACGAGCTGGTCTGGGAAGCTCAGTCCTCACCTCCTTCTACAGGTGTGCAGTGGAGAGCATCCTGTGCTCCAGCATCAACGTGTGTCATGGAGGCTGCACCGCTGCAGAAAGAAAAGCTTTGCAGAGAGTGGTGAAGGCTGCACAGAAGACTGTTGGTGTCAGCCTCCCCACCATCACAGACATCTACACCTCCAGATGTAGGAAGAGGGCCACCTGCATCATGAAGGACCCCACTCACCCAGCACACACACTTTTTGCCCCACTCCCCTCAGGAAGGAGGTTGAAGAGCATTAAGCGTAGAACCACTAGACTGAGGAACAGCTTCTACCCTGAGGCTGTTAGACTCATGAATCTCTAACCAGAATAATCACTGTGAAAAAAATCACATCATGTTGCTGCTGATCTGTTTCAATGTTGCTGCTGATCTGTTTCAATGTCACTGCTGATCTGTTTCAATGTTGATGTGTTCATGCGTGCTCATCTGCACACACAGACTCATGTTCATGTTTGTGCTGATGTTCGACGTAATGTTTTTATTCTATTAGTGCTTAGTATATTTTTAGTTTATGTTTTTCTTAGTTCATATCTTAGATGTTATCATTGTTTTTCTTTTACATTTTATTGTTGGATGTAACTGGGACCCCGTGTACATAATTTCGCTCCACCACATGTAACACATGAGGTGCGAATGACAATAAAGAAACACTGACTCACACTGCATTTTCGCAGGAAATGCAACTTCTCTAGTTTTCTTTAAATAACCACCCACATGATCCCTAACAGTATCTTTGTTCCTCATTATCTACAGCATAAAGGGGTAATTTTCTCAACTTTTAACAAAAATTCTGCAGAAGTTGGAAAATAGCTGAATGTTCTGCCACTAGAAGGCTAAAACTGTGGTATGAGAGTTAAACAAGTTTTGTAAGTTCAATCAACCAGGTAGATAACAGCAAAAATGCTTAAATCATGTCATCTGGACCTCTTTATTTAAGTGAAGAAACGTTTCGTCCCCCATCCAGAGGACTTCGTCAGTGTGTGTCCTGCCAACCAGATCTGTCCCATAAGTATAGCCTTCATTGTTAATGATTGATGATTTTGGATCGATGTGCTCTGTTTAAAAAAGCCTGCTTCTGAGATTCCAACAAGAGGCTGGTTTGAAACAGCAGTGAAGGCTACCTATGGGACTGTGTTGGCAACACATAAACTGACGAAGTCCTCTGGATGGGGGACGAAATGTTTCTTCACTTAAAGAATGAGAAGGATGACACGATTTAACCATTTTTGCTGATATGAGAGTTGGTGTGCTCAAGTTTCTGCTGTTTGGGAGATAAAATCTCAGCTGACACACACAATCCACAGCACAACATGATTGGCAGCCGGGAAGGATGCTGCTCAGAAGCTGCAGATCTGAGGTCAGTTGTAGAGGAGAAACATCGATCCACTTTGTTTAGCTGCTTGTTCCTCTTTCTGGTCTTGGAGCTTCTACCTCATGGGTGAGAGGCAGATTTGTTTACAGCGGACAGCGCAGTAAACACTAAATAATGGCACATGCAGGAGGATTAGCGTGGACCAGAGATGAAGTTGAGATGAAGCCTGTGCTCTGTGCTTGTTCTTCAGTCGGACATCGTCCATCAGAGCGTGTTCGAGCTCATCCACTCAGACGACCGAGCGCTCTTCAGACGGCAGCTTCACTTCTCCTTCAACCCGGAGGCTGACGAGTCCGATGATTCCGGTACGACTTCAGTGCAGCTGAAATCTCTTCAGCCTTTTTTTTTTTTTTTTATATCTTTCAGCACTTTCAGTCAGTTTCCTTTTATTATTGTGACTCCACGCTGCTGTGTTTTAGTCATGCTGCATGTTCTTGACACGTATTTTGTTTGTTTTTAATTAGTTTCACATTTAGTTTATTTGTCCTGCAACTCGTTTTGCACCAGCCCGTGCTTACTGTCACCGCTCCGCAAGTCTTTTTTATCCGGTACAGAATAAGGCCGTGCTCCCGACCGATGTTTAACCAGCCTTTAATTATTACTTTGCCACACAGCACATCTTTTTTTGCTGGCAAACACCGTGAAAAACTGTGTTAAATACACAGTAGAAACACAAGTGTTAGCTAAATTACATTGACAACAAAAATTAAACATATAAACAAAAACAGGATACGTAAACATATCGTGTGCGCCTTCTGACCAAACATTTAGGAGGCGTTATTGTCCATAATGTCCATTTTTCCTCTTTTTTATTTTTTATTTTTACTGGACTATCTTGTTTTCTGGTTCACATCCATACACTCATGCAGCTTTCAGACGTGGGCAACTTAAGGCCCGAGGGCCAAAAGCAGCCCTTGGACAATCGCCATCTGGCCCCCCGATATCTTCAGTAAAAAAAAAAAAAAACAAGAACAAAAAAGATTTATTTAAAAAAACAATAGCAATTTATCAAGGAGACTTAAGAAAATTTAAATTAAACATCTTTCGCAAAACAAAACAAAAAACATATATAACTTTGCTTTGCGTATTTTCACGCTAACGTGTAACCTGTTAAGCTAACGTGTAACCTGTTAAGCTAACGTGTATAATATATTGTCACAAAAGCCAGTTTAAAGAACATGTCTTAATATACCGACTTGTTTTGTAAAGCATGCTAACTATGCTACAAGAAAAAGCTTGATAAAGGTCTTCTAGATAATCTGTCGTTAAAAAATAAAATAAAATAATCCAATTCTTTATGCAACCATTTGATTGCTTTAAATGTCTTGATGTGGCCCTTTGGAAAAAATATGTTGCCGGCCTCTGTATTAGTCATGTGACTGCATGCTCACCTCAAGCTCCACCAATAGATATCACTGACACGACATCGTTTAAATGATTTTTCCTGCGGCAGCTACACTTATTTTTCATCTTTTTAGTTATTGAGCATTTCTTTGAGGCTTTGTCACATCTTGCTCCACATTCATCCACCCGGTCCCTACGATCACAGAACAGTCATCTCCTCCACCTTCCACGAACTAAATGAAGGACCATGGGAGATTGGGCATTCTGTTTGGCTGCCCCCCACCTCTGGAACTCCCTCCCTGACTATCTGAGAGCTCCACAATCATTGACTGACTTTAAAAAAAAGGCTTAAAGACTTTTCTTTTTAAGCAAGCCTATTCTGCCTCCACGTGATTGTATCATTGATTTTAGTTGATTTTATCTTTGATTTTAGTTGATTTTATCTTTGATTTTAGTTGATTTTATCTTTGATTTTAGTTGATTTTACCATTGATTTTAGTTGCACTCTGTAGCACTTTGAGATTTTTGTTAATGAAAAGTGCGTTACAAATTAAATTCATTATTATTATTATTATTATTATTGTTATCTACAGATTTAGTTCGCCCTTCATCGTTTTATATTCTACAGCTTAATTCAGACTGACATCTTTATATGATCATCAGATTAAATAGATTCTTAATATTTTTTAGTTGTTTTTTTTTTGTTGTTGTTGCTACAACAGATAAATGACTGTGGTAAATGGTATTTAGTTTGAAACTGTCTCTAATTTTGCTCCTGCAGGTGAGCAGAACAGCTCTGAGGTCAGCAGTAAAGTGGTGACCTATGACCTCCATGCCATCCCCCCTGAGAACTCCTCTTTCTTGGAGAGAAGCTTCTGCTGTCGTTTCCGCTGCTTGTTGGACAACTCCTCCGGCTTCCTGGTAACCCCCCCACCCACACACACACACACACACACACACCTGGTCAGGTCTTCTGAGGCCTGTTTGTTTGTCTTCAGGCTCTGAACTTTCGTGGCCGACTGAAGTTCCTTCACGGTCAGAACCGAGTGTCAGAGGATGGGACGTTGGTTCCTCCGCAGCTCGCTCTGTTCGCCATCGCCACCCCGCTGCAGCAGCCCTCCATCCTAGAGATCCGCACTAAGACCCTCATCTTCCAGACCAAACACAGGCTGGACTTTACACCGACGGGTATCGACGGCAGGTAAGAAATCTCTCCAATAGAAACAAACATAAACAATTAGGAAAAACTAAATTAATTAATACTTTGATAAGCTGAAAGGATTAAATCTGAAAGAAGCAGCGGCTCGATTAAATCAGTCTGTGTTTGTGTCCACAGAGGGAAGGTGGTTCTAGGTTACAACGAGGTGGAGATTTGTATGAAAGGTTCAGGCTACAGCTTCATCCATGCTGCTGACATGATGTACTGCGCCGACAAACACCTCAGAAGTACATTTTTATTTACTCATCCATATTGTATTCAAAATGTTGCCATGGAAGAAAAAAGGGGTTCCCAACCCTGGTCCTTGAGGTACACCGTCCTGCATGTTTTAGTTGTTTCTCTGCTCCGACACACCTGCTTTTAATAAATGGTTTATTTTCATTCAACCTTTACTTTACAGGCTTCTGCAGAACATGAGGAAGTAATAAAATCACTGAATCAGGTGTGCTGGATCAGGGAAACAACTAAAACATGCAGGATGGTGTTCCTCAAGGTCTACAGTTGGGAACCACTAATTTAGTCTTACTGTAAACAAAACCGTTTTCTGTTTATTTTTATCTCGGTCATTGATGTAAAATTAGATTTTATTAAAATGAACTAACTGTCATGAAGAAAGTCAGTGAAGAAAAAAACATTCTAATATTTTATTTTGTCAAATTATTCTGAAATTTTGTAAACCGAGGGGAAAAGCAGCTGAAATTTAAAAACAAATGAGAGAAAAAATCTGTAAGATGCTGCAGAAATAAAAAAAAAAATACCGTACATAACTTAGGAGCTTATTATCAAATGTTTGACAAGTTAAAATTAAATAAATTAGATAAAAGTGTTGAAATTATAACAATAAAAACAATCCTTCAAAACATTTGTTAAAGTTACCAAAATATATTTTACGAATTATATGAATGGAAATAGCATATTTCTTACCAAAAATTGTTAAAGCATTTATAAACTAAACAAAAATTTGATATTAGTATTTTTTTTGCTATTGAAAATAATCTGTTTAAGATAAATAAGTTGGAAAAATAAATTCAAAATCATCTAAAAATGATTTAAAAAAAAAAAGTGTTAAGTAATTTAAAAAAAACGATGATTAAAAAAAAATTAATAAAATATCCACTGAAAAAATATTTAAAAATGCAAATTAAAATGGACTATTTTGGAACAATCTAAATAAAGTTTTGAGATTTTTATTTACATTCAGAATAAAAAACAACGTTTCTGGATAAAAAAAAAAACATCTTTAACAAAACATTTATTTATTTGCTGAATAATCTCATTTCCCCTTCTGTGTCAGTGATGAAGACCGGAGAAAGCGGCTTCACCTTCTTCAGGCTGCTGACCAAAGACCGGAGGTGGATTTGGGTCCAGTCCAACGCCAGGATGGTGTTTAAAGACGGCAGACCAGAGTTCATCGTGGCCCGGCAGAGAGCTTTGACGTGAGTCTCACGTTTTACTGATTGATAAGCGAGACGATTGTTCCTGCTTCTGGTTCTGACGCCATACGTCTGACCTTTATCAGAAACGAAGAAGGAGAGGAGCAGCTTCGCCTCCGACAGCTGCAGCTGCCCTTCAGCTTTGCCACCGGAGAGGCGATGCTGTACGACCAGATGCCGACCCTGGACATCTCCGACTCGTGCTCCGCCCCCAAGCAGAGGAGGTTTGACTCTGATTCAGTGAGTCCTAACTCCTTACTGGGCTGCCTGCTGAGCCAGGACCAGTCTGTGTACTGCAAGCACACCTCTCCCAACAGCATCAGCTCTCTGAGTGACGTGGCCTTCCAGGACACGCACGCCACCGTCAGCATCCCCCGAGATGACACACCCAAACCTGCCACCGGAGGCCCCTTGTTGAAGATGGACTCCACGGCACAGGACATGATAGTGTGCCTGCAGCAGATCTTCGGGGAAACGGACCTGATCGAGGCAGTGGACATGGGCCCTGAGGAGCTGAGGAGCTGGGAGAGTTCCCTGATGGGGATGGATTTTACCACCAGCGAGTTCAGCGAAGACCTGAACGACATCCTCACCAACGACATCCTGTCCTACGTGGAGGAGCAGCTCCAGAAGGAGGACGGCCTCCAGCTGGCCAACCAACAAGACCACCTCTCAGTCTGCATCCCAAACGTAGACCCTCAGAACCAGACTCCTGATCACGTTGGGCAGCAGAACTTTGGCTGGCCTCTTCAGTCCCAGAACCAGCTAATGCCCAACGAAGGCCAGCCACAGGGAGCGATGAAGCTGAGCCATGTGGACTTTCCTCAGATGAGTACTTCTGGGTTTAATGGGTCCCTCCCAGGTTCTTTTCAGATGGGCAGCTCGGGAAACCTCACAACTCCAATGACCTTTAACCCTTCATGCAGTCAATCACAGAATCAACAGAAGACTTTTGAAGTCAGTCTAACAGATGGCAACATTGGACCCGCTCCACTGAGGCAAAACACGACCTGTCAGGTCCAGACCAACCAAATGGCTCCAGCAGCAGAGAGGTATCCTCAGATAGGGGTGCCTATCCAGAATCAAAACACCAGAGGACCATTAAATCCAGTCTTTATCTTTCAAGGTAACCAGTGGGACGACTGGAATACCTCTGTGTCCAACCCAAACCAAGCCAACCCCTTTGGAGAATCGTTAGCCCCGAATTTTCCATCTAAACCAAGTTTTTCAACAGATTCTTCCTCGTTCAGTCACGCCACTCCCCAGACACAGAACAATCAGCTCCAGAGACTGAGGCAGCATATTTCAGGACCCCCCCTCAACCAGGTATCAGGGTTTCAAACAAACCCCGTGGACCTTGTCAGCAGCCAGTCCACATTCAGAAGTCCACAGACTTCCGCTTTACTGTTTCCCGACCAGAAGGACTGTATGTTCAGCAATACCCCCGCTGCGCTGCTTTCTAATGGAGTCCAGCAAAGTTCCGTCCGGCTGAACCACAACGGCAGTCATATCCCCTCCAAGACCTCCTGCTTCTACCAGGCTTTTCCTGAAGACGGGGCTGGAACGGCCTTCGTAAATCCCAAAGAGACCAAAGAGGCGCTGCTGTCGTACCAGGTGGATGCTGGGCTGATGCCGAATTGTCAGCTGGTACCGCCCCAGAAGTTTCAACACTTCTCCAAACAGAGCCAGGTAAGAACTTTTCTTCAGTGACTTCAGACGGTCGGTGTTTTAATCTGATAAATTATTATCAATGCATCGTAATAAGAAGATAAAATGCTTCACACTGTAAATGATAAAAATCTGATTTTTTGGGGAAGCTGGTCCACTTTTCACCACAATCCAAGAGAAAAGTAGTGGATAGTGCTTGGTTGAGACAAAGGACAGTGTTTTGATTTGGTATTTATGGTGAAGATAAAAACAATCTCACTTTAGATAAAAGACTCGTTTTTAAAAAAGTACTGTTTTTTTTGTGTGTGGGATTTTACAAATGGCTCCAAGCTACCCACATCTGTAGGAAAAGCACTACAGTTTGCACTGGGACCCAAAAAACAAAGAGCTAAAACCCATCAGTTTTGTCATTGAAATTTAGAAAGCTTGAAGTCATCCAAGCTTTTACCTCAGTGAGGCACTCAAACAGTGGTTTTAGGGTTGAAGAACCTTTGCACTTGAACTGTAAATATATCTGAGTGTTGTTTGCAGTGAAGTAAAATGGGATATAAAATTTTTTAATGGTGGAGTCCTAAGGCCAGCATGTAGATGGAAAATAAAATGGGACCGAGAATATATCCTTGGGGAACTCCACATTTGAGGAGCAGAGGAGGAAAAAAGATTCTTGAGATTTACAAAGTCAGTGGTCAGACATTGATTCTATCGTCTTATATAACATATATTTTAATTTGTCATGTGTTTTCACAAATTATCCTCCAACTAATGCTAAGATATATCAGACTAAATGAATTTCGTATTACTAATTATTACAGACATAACTGTTTCTGTTATGTAAATACATCACATCACGTACAAGTTTATAATTCTGCAGAATGATTTTGGAGCAAAAGTACAACAAAACTCAAAATATTTACTAGAATATGAAGCTCTCATACGTGTTGAAGTTCAGTTTTTAAGCTAAAAAGTTTTAGCTTCAGAAGTAGGACTTTTTTCTGTAGTTTCCTATAACACAATTTATTTACTAGTTAAATAATATTGACAAGAAATATATTTTCAAAAGGCGTCACTATTTTCTGCCAATTTTGTTCGCGCATAATTTTAGTTCTACTTGATAAAACTTACTTAAAATGCCAATACCATTTAGGTGGTCAAGTGGACACTTAAATTATAAGAATAACTAGAGAAATTGCATTTCCTGCAAAAATGCAGTGTGAATGCTTATTGCTTATTGCTAAGAACTTGCTGAAAAACAGCTGAAATTAGCTAAAAACATGCTGAAATATAGCTGAAATTGAAGAACAAGCTTAAGTTAGCAGACGAAAGCAGAAAGAACATGTTTGCTGAATTAGATTTAAATAAGCAGAAAAGAGCACAAAGTAGCTGAAATGTAGCTGAAAAGATAGAAAGAAGCTTAAACAACCAGGAGGAAGTAGAAGGAGCTGAAATTAGCTTAAAAAACATAATTTGTTTAAAAGCTAAATTTAACACAAAACAGCTAAAAAGTAGCTGAAATAGCAGAAAAAGCTTAAACTAGCAGAAAAAGCTGAAAGGAGCTGAAATTAGCAGAAAGAAGTTAATTGGGCTGAAAGTAGCAGAAATGACCAAAAATAACTTGACTTTATCTGAAAACAGCTGAAATTAATTGAAAAATTCAGGGGGGAGTGGGAGGGGGAGAAAGGAGCTGAAAATGTAGAGCAAGCTTAAAATAGCAGAAGAAAGCTTAAAGAACACGTTTGCCCAATTAAAGAAAGAAAGGAGCATAAATGAACACTAAAAAGTGGATATTATCTGGAAAAAAAAAAGCTGAAATTAGCTAAACACAGCTGAAAAGTAGCTAAAATTTTCTAAAGAAGCTTAAATTACCAGAAAGAAGTAGTGAGAGCACATTTTTTCTGAATTAGTCTGAAAAAAGTTGAGTGCAAAAATGTGGAATTAGCAAAAAAAAAGTTAAAAATTAGCATAAAAGCAGCTAAATACTGTAGTAGCTGAAATAGCAGAAAAAATTGAAACTTGCATAAATAAGCTGAAAGGAGCATAACAAGCTGAAATTAGCAGAAAAAAGTTAGAAGAGGCACAAAATTGTTGTAGTTAGCAAAATGAATCTAAAAGGAGCACAAAACAGCTGAAATTGAAAAAAGTTTAAATGTGCACAAGGAAGCTGAAAGAAGCTGATGCAGAGCAAAATGTGAAAGGAGCAGTTAAAGGTTGTGAACACATCTAAAGATTTTGAAGGAGGTAAAATGAGCTCAATTCATTTTCTGTGATTAAAAAAATGGCAGAAAAGGCTAAACTAAAGTTATGGCACCCTTCTCCTGAATGAGCTGAACGTTTTCATACAAGATTTGTTGAAATAGCACAAAAAGTGTGGAACGAGAACAATGCCGAAAAATGTTCTGCTTTTGTTTTTTTCCCCCTCAGATGGAGCACCATCCCCTGGTCGGTAACGGAGGTTTCCCGTTCTCCTCGCTGCCCAACACCTGCGTCACAGACAACAATTAGCGACCGCCGTGAGGTCTGGACGACGACGGAGTCCGATGGAAGCGTGGAGATTAGAGGAAACTAAAAGACTCCTGTGAACGAAAGCAGAGTAGACTGAAGAACACACGGACGAGCTGCAAAAGAGACAAAACTGGGTTCAGGTCCAAAAAGGGCATCGGAACAGGAAGAAGATCAGGAGGTAGTTATCAGAGGTGGAATAAAAATAACTTGCTGTGTTTGGATTTTAACATCACCCCCCACCCCCACCCCATCACCACCACCGAAAGAAGTGCACATTTAGCCCTTATTAGCACTTATTAAACAGTTTGGTGGTTGTCACGTGTTTGCTGGGAATATTTGGAAATAAATATATAGGTATATATATAAAAAGAATAAAGTTAAATTAGAAGTCATAGTTCATTTGATGTGGGTAAAAAAAACCAGTAACTCAATCCTGAAGGCTTATGCAAAACTATCTTCACTTTATTTTAGTCTGTTTTTGAACGAAAAGCAATGTTTTGATTTTGTGTTTGTATAAGACAATGTAGAAAAATCTGCGTTTATTTGAATGTTTAAGCCAAGAATTTAAAAAAAATCTTGTGTTGATTGAAATGAGCTCATCACTGCCTCCTAGAGAGGGCAGAGAACCATACAATCAAAAGTAATGGATAGAAATCCAAAGCTTTTTAATGGATTTGTAGTAAAGCAAGAACAAAAGTGGCACTTTTGTTAGTTATAACTAATTATTATTTTTTTTTCATGTAGCACAAGGGTTCCACAACGAAGTGATTAAACATAAAATAAATGTATTTAAAACCATTTAACCCTTAGATATTATCCACTCGTGGTTGGTCCGAGGTCTTTGTTGACCAGAAGGGGGCAGTAGTGAGCTTGTTTTAACTTCATTGTGGTTTTCCTGCTATGTTTCAATGTGTGACCATATTTGGACAAAATGGGTGGAGCTTAGTGACTAGATAAAGGCAACATTAATCTTAAATTAAAGAGGATTAGGAGGAGAAAAATTTAGGGATGCACGATATTATCGGCATGGTATCGGTATCGGACGATATTAGCGATAA